AGACGCGCTGTTCCTGAACATTGTATTCTTTCATCTGCGACTGCCGGCCCCCCCGAGTGAGAACGCAAAAAAAAAGGAAAGAACAATGGTGTGCGGGGGCCCTTTGACTTCTTGTTTTGGCTTCTACTATTCCATAATTTTTGCTCTTGTGTATTCCGTTTCCTTCTTTGTCCCTGTCTCCTTTCATGACTCTTATATTCCAAGGAAACCGCCGAAAGGGAAAGGGAAAGGCTACAGAGCTCGCACACGTTGTGCGGTACGGATGAGCAAGCAACCGCCAAATAACTTCTCAAAGCGGGGCTGCAACTGCGGCATCGCTTCCGCCAAGACCTCTCCGCCCCTACAGGAAGAACGCGATATGCCGGAAAGGCTTACTGCTAGCCCATACCAAAGTGGTGGTGGTCGCCGCCGCCGCTACGGAGGCAGCGACGAAGGTAGTAGCAGCAGTAGTGATCGTGATAACGACAAGGCTCCACGCGTCGGTGGCGTGGTCGCAGCTAAGGAGGGGGGCTGGACTTTCTTATCGAAAATATATGCTTGCATTATGTCGCTGTTTGCTATGATGCGTTACGTCACTTTGCTCTTATTTTTTGGCCACGCTGCCGCTAGGGCTGCACATGGCCCCGACGCCTACGCTGTGACGGAGAAAGATGCTGATTTCCCAGCTGAGGGTCGCAACAGCACCGAGCAAGGTAGTTGGGCCACGCCCAAACGTTTTGGATTGCCCACACCGCGCCCATTGTTTGATTCTGTGACCGATGCAGAAAGTGAAAGCAGCTACTCTTTTTCTTCTTCTCGAGTCAGTGACGCAGCGCGGCGGCGCTTTCAAGCCAATTTGCTTATTCGCAAGTCGTTGGAAACTGAAAGAACAGAAAGTCTTCTGAAGAACCTCCGTGTGCATGCCTGTACTTGGAACGTGGATCAGCAGCCGCCACCCACGAGCAATAATGGGTTTTATGAGTGGCTGTTAGGGAGGCAACTGATGGAAAAACTGACTGCGTATAACGCATCAGGCAAGGAGATTAGAAGCAACAGTGATGGGACCAGGCCTCCCTTTCCGATTGCCGAGTTTCCTGATGTCGTGATCGTCACCATACAAGAAGTAGAGATGGGTGGGGTTGTTCTCGTACGGGAATACACTGAAACTGGAGTCGCGTGGACAGAGGCCATCGTAGATGCCTTGAACAAAGTCAGTGAACATCGGGTGTGGTACAGGAAGGTGAAGTTTTTACAGCTTGTGGGGCTGGTGTTGATCCTTGTGGTGCGATGTGCGCACATCGATTACGTTGCAAATGTTCGTGCCTCGCTCACGAGAACAGGCGCAATGAAGGGTGTGTGGGGTAACAAAGGTTCTCTCGGAATTCGGGCCACAATATACGGTAAACGGTTTCTTTTCATTGCCGCACATTTCGTAGCACACAAACATAATGAGCGTGCCCGTACCCTTAACTATCGCGCCTCGCTAAAAGAGCTGTGCTTTCAGCTACCAGAAGAAGTGGATGATGAAATGGATGTGTTTCAGACGTTTAGCGCCGCAAACGATGCCAGTATGGGACAGAATGACGTTGAGAGCCGTTCCAGATTGTCTCTTCTCCTTCGAAAGATTCGCCACTCCTCTTCAACGTTGTTGGAGAAAAAAGTGTTGGACAAGTATGACTATGTGTTTTTCCTCGGCGATTTAAATTCCCGCCTACACGGCGTCAAGGGAAACGACATTCGCCGCCTCGTCCGGAAAGGCGAGTTCGATCGACTTATCTGCCACGACGAGATTCGGCAGGGAATGGTCAGTGGCGACACCTTCGATGGCTTCCAGGAGGCCCTCATATCGTTTCCTCCCACGTACAAATTTGACCACGAAACGGACTTATATGACACGAGTAGAAAGAAGCGTGACCCCGCATGGTGTGACCGCATTCTCTTCCGTGTCTGTCTTCCCTGTGAAGACTCCGGCGGCGGCTACGACAGCGATGCTGAGGATGACATTGGCGAAAAGACCGCCGTCAACACGCAAGCGAGAAGATCTACTGGCCCTTTGCACGACTCCTCTACATGTGTATATGACAGCACAACGTTATCGAGCTCCCTGCCGGAGCTTATGCCATCTAAAGTCGAGGTGCATGAACCGCTCCTCACACATTCTGGCAGTGTCGCTTTACTCCAATCATCTGTCTCCTCGGCGAGTAGCACAAGTTCGCTGTTGTTGCGTGGGAAATCGGAGTCCGCGTTGTCGGACATGAGCGTGCGAAGCTGTTACCCAGAGACTATGTCAATGCTTAAGGCGCAAGCTGTAGCGAAATCCTCTTCGACGCAACCTGTCGCCCGTTCTGCTGAGACACCGTCGTTGGCAACGTTTCTCTCCGCACGGCGATCGACATGTATGGACAAAAGCTCCACTGTTTTTCCAATGATTCCGAACAGTATGTACGTCATCGACTATCATCATATTCAGTCGCTGCGACAGTCCGATCACAGGCCCGTTTGTGCACAGTTCAATGTGACTGCTCTCGCACTTCAGAAGGATTTGGTGGACAATGTGCTGCAAAAGGTGCAGGAAACGCTTATGCTGAAGGAGCCGAACCTACTTGAAGATGCATGACGAAAAGAGCCTTATTCCCGTTCATATTGTTGTACTATTTGTAACCCTGTTTCCCTCCCCCACCCCCTCTTCAATTCTTTTATTACTTTTCTTTATGCTGTTGATACGCATTTGGTGACAGTGTGGAATCCGCTTTTGTCAATTCACTGAGTAGTGGGTGGAGGAAGTGTGCGTTCTGTTCCCCTGCACGCTTCATATATAGGTGTATATATTTATATTTATATATGTATCTTCCCATCTTTAGGTATCCTAATTTTGTTTTTGGCAATGTGCTTTTTGTAAGTTTTACGATCCTGCTGGTGGCGTTTGGTGTGCTCATCCGCGTCGGCTTACCGAACAAGTGAAGGAACACGCCATTGGACAAGAGGGAGGGGGGGGGGATGAGGAAAATGTATTCTAAAGTGCAACAATAACACCGGTGTTCACGTGGAACGCATTGCCATGAGGGTGAATTATCTCCGTTGGAAACCTCCTTGGGGGCTAACCCGCTCTGGGGAAATTCTTTCTGTGCGTGTGTGTGTTTTTTTTTCTCCGCACGTGACGCGGATTCTGTTGTGCCACGACATCTTATGTGGGGTTGAGCATCCCTGCTTTTGCGTGGACACACAGCTCCCACACCCTGAAATAGTGATGGTGCCTCTTGACGATCCATGTTTGGCGCTTCTCTTCCTCCAGGCGAGCATGGCTTCCCCCCTGATACCTCACGGTACGGTGACGGGGGTTTCCACTGGAACTTTTTCCGTTTCTTGCTTCTTTTTATTCTTGTTGTTATGAAGTTTGTGTTGTCTTTGCCCTTTGGTTCTTTGTTTGTTGGTGCTGGCGGTTGGATGCGGTTAATTCAATGCGACCCATATCGCTCAAAAGTTTGGATTTACCCCCCGTCTATTCCACCTCTTTCTGCGCGCCACCGCGTTGTTAGTTGTCTTGTGCAACTGTGTCTTGTGGTTTCGTTTTAGCCCACTTGCCCTCACACACACAATTTTTCTTTTTCTTTCTACTCTCTTTGAGTCGGAAATGCAGCGCCCGCTGCATGGGGATGCTGAACCGCTCGGCATTCGTGTTGCAGCCAGGAGTAACAGAGTGCGCGCCAAACAAAAGGCTGCTGTGAGACCACATGCGGCGGGGGCGGGAGCTCAGGTGCCCTTGCGCAGTCGAACGCTTGTAGCGCCACGGTTGCAGCTGCGCACCTACCATGACAACGCAGCGATGCGTGAGGCGCTGGAGCAGCTAAAACAGGCATGTGGCCTCTTTCCTCTTGACGAGGTGGAAGAAATGGAAAAGATGAACCCTACGCATGCCATTGCTGGCTCCGCACACCCGCAACTCAACCAAATGCCTGGTCACGTGATTGTTCAGTGTTTCACGTATTGTGACTTGGACTCGCTTTGCGAGTTGGGGTGCGTCAGTCGCCGTTTTGCCGCCCTGTCCAACGCTCACCTTTTATGGGAAGTTCACGCCCGCCTGCGAAATGTGTCAATGCGTGCGCCGGAATCTGCCCGAGAAGATCTCCGGCGCGCGGTGGTGGAGCGGCACGAGAGGTGGCAGGCGGAAGTAGAGCGGCATGAACGCGAATACGAAGCGCTAGAACGCCGCTTGCGTGAGCGCACTGCCGCTGATCTCGCCGATCCAATAGACGTGGAGGCTGCCCTCGCAAGCACTCATCCTAGAGGATTGCTTGGGAATCACGGCGACAGCCGAGCGGCTCACAGCGCTGCAGTTATGCAGGAGCTCTCTGCGCAATTGGAACAACTTGAGTCGGTGAAACTAGATGTACTTCGCGGCGTCCGCGAATTAAAATCGGCGCTGTCCCAGCAGCAGCAGCAGATTGAAGAGTTGCAGAAGAGGGTGACCGAGACTGGGGAGACGGAAGACGAGGAGGGTAACGCCACAACCGCAAACGAAGTAAATGGGCTCACCTTTTTGACTGTTAGGGCCTTTGAACGCCGTATCTGCCGAATCGTGTTGGGTGTCGACAGTGATCTTCCTCTTGTGCTGAGAAGAGGAATCGACGAGTTTGGCACCATGGAACTGCTGTGCCTCCACGGTGCTGGTGATGTGGGGCGACGTGTGCGGCAGCGTTGGGCCGCCTTCAAGCGATTTTTTCCCCCAATGTCGGAAGATTACGGAACCGTAAGGGCGTTACTTATGGCTGGGGAGTCACCGTCTTCAACTCGAGCGCGCGAAAGCCTGGCCCGTCTAGGGGGTGTGATTCGCCGTGTGCAGCAGATGACAGACAACGAAATTGTGCAGATTATTTTGTAAAAGCCAACAACAACAAAAAAAAAGGGGAAGGCATGAAAACCAAGAGACAGCCTTGACGGAAATCCTGGCAGAATGAATGTGTGTGCGTATGTATGTGGAGCGTGATGGGCTGTCATCTTCTGCAGCCAGCCTCGAAAGGAGATTGCGACGTTGCGTGCGCTTGACCGTGGCGCTGACGTTGTACTTTCAGCCAGGGCGCTGTCCACGGAGTGCCTGGTGTCGATGCCTCGGCGGGGGGTGTTGAGTCGCGCCGCGCGTGCGTCCGCGTGTGCAATCAAGAGGCGCCTCGCCGTGTCGCTGGCCCCTGGTGCGGGCGGAGGTGAGCGCCGCCTGGGCATCCCACGAGCACTGCTCTCACCCAACATTTTTCCTCCCTCTCCATCTCCATCTTCATCTCTCTCAACCTTAGTTCTGGCACAAGAAGCAATGGGCAAAATTGGTGCGATCCTCTACGGTGTGCTTACCCTCATCG